TCCAACGGGCTCTGGGCTACAGTGTTTTGAAGGAAACAGTAGCTCCCATGCTCTGGGATCCCCAGCACAAGAGGTCCTTCAGGGTGGCCACAAGAATGGCAAGTGCTCCTGAAACCAGTTCTCAGTCACAGGATTGGATGATTATTGCCGATGACTGATGCAGGTGGTGACCTAACAGAGCCTCTTTTGATCAGGGATGAACAGCAAATCTTCCCACGATCAACTATTTATTTCAATCAGGAAGGGAAATGGTAGGGACCCCGCTCATGATCAAATGACTATCGGAGCAAGACCCTCACCTTGCTAGTTATAAGCCACCATCTTCCTGTTGCATGCTGTTGTCTCATATTAAGGTGATTGTCCGCTGGAACGCCAAGATCCTACTCACAGTTACTTCTCTGCACCAAATTTCACATAATCTGTATGTATACAATTGGTTTTCCTTGCCTAAGTGTAACACTTTGCTTTTCTCTGCATTGAATTTTATTTTGTTAGATAGGGCTCAGTTTCCATGCCTGTTGAGATCCATCTAGATTTTGGGCCTATCTTTTGGGGTACTGCCAACTTAGAGTCATGTGCAAATTTGATGAATTCCCCTTCTATTCCTTCATCTAGATCATTTATAAAAATATTGAAGAATGCTAGGCCTGAGAAAGAATCCTACTGATTACTTCCATCCATCTGGATATAGTTCCATTGAATATGGTTTGTTAGCTAGTTACAAATCCATCTGTTGGTAGTGCTGTCCATCCCACATTTTTTTCTAAGTTTTCAAGAAGTAGATTGTAATCTATCTGTCAAATACCTTAGTGAAATCCAAGTATACAACGTACATATTATTTCATTGGTCTGCTAGTTTAGTAATTTATCAATGAATGAAATAACCATGTTTGACATGATCTATTTTTTGATGAACCCATGTTGAATTCTGGTTATAACTTTGCTTGTTTCTAGGTATTCACAGATTTGTTGCTTGATTATCTTATTCAGGATCTTCCCAGAAATGGATGACTGGTCTATAGTTTCCTGGATCTACTTTGTTTAAAAGATGGGAAACACATAACCTCTTTTCTAGTTCTCAGGTAGTTCCCCAGTGCTCCAAGAACTTCAAAAGATATGGTACAATGGTTCTGAGGTGATATCTGCCAATTCCTTCAAAATGCTAGGATGTAGCCCTTTCTTTCTTTCTTTCTTTCTTTCTTTCTTTCTTTCTTTCTTTCTT